TATTTTTTTGTAAGTTCTGGATTAGCTTTCTGTACTAAAATTTAAACCCACTGGGATGCAGAAGCCTATCACACAGTCTATGTCTCTCCTTTCTTTCTTTCTCTTCTTACCTTTGCAAATCATCCTCTTTCATTTCCCTTTCTCACTCTCTTTGACAGCAATATGTGTGCTGATATGGCAAACATGTTCACTTAGAAAATAATCATCACTGGTTCAGAAATAGGTATATAATTACATTAAAATTTTTAAAAGATACAAAACTAAAAAAATTTAGAATGGTCTATCACATTTTACATAAAACATGAATGTCAATGTCAAATTGGTCATACTCTACTAATTACTTAAAAAGACAACTAGGATCACATTGCCTAGTTGAATAATTCTGGAAACATGTCACCAAAAGGTTAATGACAAAGCTGCTTATGATCAATGCCAAACTTGGCATGCAATTACTGACCATGTTACTGCATCCTGAAAAAAGTAACTGAGCTAACATTTTTAAACTTGCACAATTATGCTTTAGATGGTGTGTGTCCCTAAGTTCCTATTCTTTAGATTTCCAAATAATGAGTCACAGGATATTGGATATGAAATAACTCACACCATGTGAGAATTAAAAGATCTATTTTGAACTGATGATATGATCCAAAATCAAAAGAAAAACACATTTTTTAAAAAGGACATGGCTAAACAGTTGATGCCAAAAATGAGAAAAACCTTACTGATGATCTAGAAAAGAGTATCTTTTGGGTTTTTCTTTTTTTTTTTTTTTCAAATTCTACCTCACAATTTGTATCAACATTTGGATCAAACTCAAAAGGACTAATTTTTTGGCTTCTTCATAGAAAACTGGGCTTGCAACTTTGGCTAGTTCCTAAGCACAATTATATAGAAGCTCCAGTTCTTGCAACTTATAAATATATATCTTAACAATCTTGAAAAAACTCATATGAAACAACTTTTAAAATTTTGAACTTTATATTTGGTAAAAACTAAACTATAATATTTTTGTCCATTTAAAAGGACAAGTGGTACAATACCTGAGCTAAAAAGAAAAATGACTTTGATTTGAAATATTTGAAAATCTTTCTCTATTCAAAGGAGTCAAGGCTCCCTAAAGAAATGGCTAAAATTATGGCGGAGGCTGAAAAACAATGAGTCTGGATAAATTACAGTATTAGAACAAAAAATTAAAAAGAACGCGGGCCAAGTATTTAGCTCAGTGGCATAAGCGCCTGCCTGGCAAGCATGAGGTCATGAGTTTGATACCCGGTACCAAAAGTGGGGGGGCTTATTTTAAAAAATACAGAAACTAGTCTGAGAGATGTCCAACTGTCAAATATGGGATAACATGTGCATTAAAGTCATGAAAACCATTAATGAAGTATACACTATTGAAAAAAGACTGGTTCATGGCTCAGACAGGTAGGAGAGAATTCTTGCTTATGACAAAATGTTAACTGTTGACAAGTAAAGGCAGAATGAGCATAGAGTTGGAAAATAATAATTTTATAATCATCATAATCAAAACTGGCCCAGAATGTATCACCAAAATGCTATATCTAAGGGAGGATGAGTGATGAGTAACAGGGTTACTGTATATGCATCGTATCTTCCTACAGATCACTTATTATTTGCAAGTGAAAAAATAACAACTATATAGTAGAGAAATCTGACAATCACTAGGCCAGGTTTCCATAATATCATCAGTGAGAATAAACAGACACTCTGTACTTCCAGGTATGAATCCTCAGAGAGAACACACACTTAAGTAGTAACCCAACTTTTGGTGGGCAACCTGAACCTAATGAGAGATGTCAAAAATCACAAAATAAAAATATTTCATTAGGAGGGGATACAGCAGATTATATTTCTCAAAAATGTCAATGCATAAGACAAAGAAAAGCTAAGTGACTATTTCAGATGAAACAATACAAAAGAGAAATTATAATTAAATATAATATATGTGATACGTGCTGGGCTTGTCTTGGAGGAAAAGAGGGGAGGAATTACAAAGAAGATTATTAGGCCATGCACGGTGTGCAAATGTAGAAACAGCTGCTTAGGAGGCTAACACAGGACTGCTTAAGCCAAAGAGGACAGACTGAACAACGAGTGAGATGCAGTCTCAGAAAAGGGGAGGGAAGGTAGGAGGGAGGAAATCAAATGACAAAATAAAAATATATACAGTAGGCTAAAGTATTGTATTAATAATGGTAAATTGCCTGAGATTGATAGTTGCACCTTATATGGTCATTTAAAATATATATATTATGATTTATATCTAGATGTCCCCCCAAGTCACTCATGCTCTCATGGAGGGGATGGCGGCTGAAAAGTGATTGTATTATGGAGCTTATAACTCACCTGCCAGTAGGAGGTAATGTCTGTTCAGAAAAGGCAGGTCACTAGGGCAGGGCCTGGAAAGGTTTATCTCTCTCTAGCTCTTCTCTTTGCTTTCTCTGCTTCCTAGATGCCATGCAATAAGAAACTTTCCTCTGCTATGCCCCTGAAGTCAGCTGTCTTTCGGATTGAAACCTCCATAAACTTTAAATCAAAAATAAGCCTCACCTCCTTCAAGCTGGGAAGTGTTGGGTATTTTGCCACATCAATGAGTAAGTTTCTAAGACAGTACACTAAAGAATTTAGGGTAATGGGATATGAAACATAACTTTCTCTCAAATAGTTCAGAAAAAAATCTACGTGGATGTGCATGTGTATGTACATATGTACTCAGAAAAGAGAAAAAGATAAGAGATGAAAGAAAGGAAGGAAAGAAAGAGGGAAAAGGAGAAAGGAGAAACATCTCAATAAATCAGTGGGACAAAAGATTAACACTGAATAAGGATAAAGGATACATAACTTGGATAATTCTATAAATTCACTTTTTCTGTAAATTTACAATCATTTACAAATAAAAATGTTTGGAAAATACCCAAGATTTTCTAGAACCTCTTTATAAACACCTGTGATAATGTCTTAATGTACTACCTGTCTCTTTATCTGGAGGGAAAAAGAGAGGATAGTGAAGGGAATACTTATCAGTTAGCTTTGTTAGACACTTCAAGGAAAATGTGAAGAACACAAAAATTAAAAATACACTGCATTTCACCATTATTTTAAACTCTAAATATCAACATAGAAATGAGAGTAGCACATAAGCTAGAGAATTTCCAACTTATTTAGACTGAATTCAAAAAATGAATTTAACAACTAGTTTTCAGTATATCCATCTGAACACTAGAATGTTAAGAGGTTATATTCACAGACTATTGACAATGTAATCTTAAATTTTAATATGCTGATATTCATTAAATATTTCACATCAAATACTTTTAGTTGCATTCCATAATTTAAAATCCTTCATATTTTGATATGGCTTCCCACAAAGATTTGAGAAAGAATACACTGATGGTGCAGATATGGCATATTTCATTCTCTATACCCTTTTAATAGTTCACTGTCAGTGAATTAGTATGCTGCTTTTAACACAGAAGTCTAATGTAAGTGTGTGTCAGGAGATGATATTTGTTTCCTTCTGTTTTGAAAAATCAGGTTTCTGCATCCAGAAAATTCAGATTTCATAGTTTAATGAAGATAATCAAAACTACAAATGCTCTCTATAAAGCCATTTCAGAAAGCAAGTCAGTCATTTCTCTCAGTGATAATACTAATTTATCTGCTTGTAGCAGAAGCTATAGCAAATAATGCAAACTACTTTACCTAACGTCCTCGAAACCCCTTTATAGCTTCCTTCATGTACTACAGAACCTGAAAGTCAAAACAACTATCACCACCAACAAAGATCCTACACTTTTTTTTTCTGAGTTCCTTTCATGAAGGTAGGTTCTGCAAGCAATTCAACAAGGAAGCACCCATTTGAGACTTAGAGGCAGAAGTCAGCAGTATAAGTTGGTGACCACACATAGGGGATGGGATTTTCTAGAGCAACTATAATGTAAGTTATATGCAGCACCAAAAGCACCAAGTGGTAAAAGATGAAAGGAATGTAGTTTCTATGGAGCAGTCCCAAACCAGACTATTCCTTGTACTTAAAACCAAATTCCAGTTTACACCTTATCCCTGAAGCTCTGTCCCTAAAACTCCATCAGTTGCCCAATATTTTGTCATAAATCCTTTCTGCTTAAAGAAAACAGATCTAGTTGGTCTGAATCTAAAAACCTAAACCAATACTCTGAATGAGCAAATATTTTGAATTTCTATAGTTCTAGCCTGTGAATTATAAATCAATCATGTGGATAATACCATCGCTAATAAGAATGAGTTAACATTTACTTAGCCAGGCACGGTGATGTATGGAGGGTCACAAGTTTGAGCTCATCCTGGGCAACTTGGGGATTCAACAAGACCCTATTTCAAAAATTTAAAAACAAACAAATACACCGAAATATAAACCTGAAGGACACACCTCAATGCATACAGACACACTGGTTCAATGCCCCCCCTCTAATGTCAGGAAAACACACACACACACACACACACACACACACACACGCACGCACGCACGCACACACGCACACGCACACGCACACGCGTACACGCGCGCGCGCGCACACACACACACACACACACACACTTTAGGCGCTTCAATAATGTCAAGCATTATAGTAAATGATTTATAAACAGTCTTATTAAATGTTCTATGAATGATCCCCTGGGGGAAAAACTTGAAGGGAAAAAATCCAGGTTCACAGGAGAAAACTACTCTTAATAAACAAACTTGAAGGTATCCTATTCTCAGAAATATTTGTATTATGGTTATTTTTTACTTTTTAAATTTTAATTTAATTAATTTGTGGAAACAGGATCTCATTATGTAGTTCAGGCTAGCCTCACATAAAAAATTCTTTATGGTTTTTAAAGTAGCCTGGGAAACTCAAACTTGTAGCTTTTAACGAGTATGGCATAAAAGAGTCCTAAATGCTATCTCTATGACTACACTTTGGCTACCAAAGTTTTTTTGTTCTTTTGGTTTTTACCTGAAGATTAATCTCCGCCTCGTAGAAGGTTAGGCATGAACAATAATGTCGATCCGAGTCAATATCCGTTAGTACTACCACAAAGAACGTCGGCTGCTTCCTCTCTCTGGATAGCTGCCACCCCGCGGGCTGACAAAACTAAATGAGACAAAAAAAAAAATCGTCACATTTTAAAATGTAATAGAAAACATTCCTTAATAGCTGAGATACTAAATGTTTCTATCTTTCAAAATGTCTACCTGATATGGTATGCCAATTTTAGCCAACGTAAAAAAAGTGTATAAGATAGATAACCATATTACTGAGTTTTTGTTGGATCTTTGAACACAACTGTTTGCAGTCTCACTGTTTGAATGCCCACTTTGTATGCTTTAATCCTATAACTTGAATAACTATTTCTAAGATGACAATATGTAATCTATTAACTAGTGATTTCTTACTACTTTTTTTTGAAATTCTGTATTACTTGTACCCTTATACTGTTTTGGTTTTTTTCTCCTTTAAATAAAATTTTTAAAAAAGACTTTAGTTTCTTAAAAAGCTTCATTTCATTCAGTTTACATTTTAATAGGAATTCTGTGATTTTAAAGAAGCACTAACCTGAAACTTTTGGGAAATTCCAAGACTCGTTTTTCAGATTCAGTAAGCTTCAAAACTCAGCTCACTGTGACTACAGCTACAAGGGTAATGGTAATTCATGGTTATCCTGATGAGATAATGTTTTACTAAATTTTCACAAAAATGTTGCCAAGAAAGTTAACTTATTCTATACATAAAATCACATTATAAATGGGAATTATTTTATGTTTTACATTTAAAAAACCATTACTATCATATCTTATAAGAAAATTTGAGTTCTATATTCTCAAACATATACACTAATGCACAAATATATACAAATTAAACAGTAGTTCCCACAAGCGAGTTAATGAAACTGTTTTGCAATACACAGAAAGAAATGGTCCTAACTTGAAGTTAAAATGCATACTTCTCAAATTCACTGCAATATAAATTAAACAACAGAATCTGTGTATCAGAGTATGATGCAACCACTTACTGGACAGTGTTTTCCACAGGATTTAGATTTCAAATTTAGTAATACTAGCTGGTTCAGTCATTTCAGTTTTTAACTAGAAGTGTATTGAAGAGATAATAAACAATGAAGGAGTACACACTATAATTCCCATTTCTGACAAAAATGAGAGAATGTTTAGACAGCTGGGGACAGGATAGCCACCAAAAAACAGCTCAGTGATAAGCATGAAACAAACAGGATAAAAATCAAAATTTTGTTCACACCAGTGTCTGCATTGGCAAACAGGAAAAAAAATGCTGTCACAGGTGCAAAACTTAAAATGTTTAGAATTCATTACTATAATTGATGGATTTATATTTTGCCCTCCTTTCTTCAAGTCACTGAGAAAATATCCTTTTGGAATGACTTTATCAATGACAGAATAACATAAGCTGACAAGGTTTTCATACATACACAAGAATATATACAACAGCTTGTATTTTTGATGACTTCCCTCTACCTTGACCTCATCATTTCACACAGATCATGCCCATAAACATTTTAGAACATGTCTGAGAAGAGCCATTCTTTTTTCAGGATGCTGTCTTTGTTTATTTTCAGTTTTCTTTAACACTTTGTCATAACTTAGCAAATGATACTTTAAAGGTGTATGGTTTCAACTGTTTATTTGCTTCTTTCTTAACTGCCAAATAATATGAAGCGGGTCACTTATGGACAGGCCATCCATATGTTTACAAATACAAAAATAACTTATTTGTGAAACATTACACAGTGTATATAATGATATTTCACAAAACCCATTTTACCAACAATGAGACTAAGACTGAGATGTTAAGTTCACATAGCTAGTTTCTCACACTGACAGGACTAGAATCCAAGTCTCTGCCTTTTTAAGAACTATGTACTTTCACTGCTGAATTATTGTTACAAATTGCCATATGGGCATTATTTTCTGTTCATATTAATTCATGGGAAAAATTAAATAATATGAGAATGAACTAATATTTTTTGAGACAGGGTCTTGCTGTGTAGTTCAGGCTGGCTTGAAGTTCATTATCTAGCCCAGTTGGCCTTGAACTCATGGAAACCTATCTCAACCTCCTGAGTGCTAAGATTACAGATATATACCAAATCTGGATCATGAATAGGAAATAAATCTTTTAACAGTTCACATTTCCTTGCAACCAAGCATGGGGGGGGGGTGATTTTTCCAATGCTGAGCTCAAACTCAAGAGCCTTCCATGTGCTAGGTAAGTGCTCTTCTTCCAATGGAGCCACATCCCTAGCCCTCTGTATTTTTTTTTTTTACTTTATAAAAGAAGACATATCATATATACAAGTATAAATTCTTTCTTCACTTTCTATAACATGTAAATTTCTCATGTACTTACATATTTTAACAACATTCTTTTTAATGACTACTATCCATCATATAAAGTATTATAAGTCAATTTCCTATTGTTGGTTGGTTAAGACATTTCAATTTTTAAACAGATGATGAAATTATCATGGAATTATATAACCCCTTTGCACATGTTACAGTATTTTCTTAGAGACATTTTGGAATGTACACTGTAGTGGATTAACTAATGGTCAACTTGTAACACCCAGCTGAATTGAATCAGTGTGGTGCTGGGTATGGAAGGCCTGTCTGAGGATTGTTGCCACTAGTATAAAAGGAGAACTGGAGGAGAAGATGGTGTTGTTGATCTCCTGGAGAAGCCTGTCATGCTGTCTTTCCTGGTATGAACTCAGCTGTTATCACTGGACAGCTGGGGTTCTCACTGTTGCTGAGGATGGCTGTGGTTCTCTTTGAAAGAGATCTGTTCCTTACCTTGAGCATTGCTTCCTGGCTCAGGGGCAGATACCTCAGCCTGCTGACACAGATCCTTCAACCCCTGGCCCCAGACTTTGTAGCTTCCACCACTGACCTGTGGGCCTTCCCACTGCAGATCCTTGATACAGACTTCAATGAGACATTGTCGTGGGCTCTACACCTCCATTTGGACTCATGGGGCACACTGCCTAGGCTCTAGGTCTTCAGTAGGACTTGTGTAGGACACTGCAGTGGGATCAAGGCCCTCTGCTGGATTCTTTGGGTCTCTAGTGTGTAGACAGATCTGTACTCTTCTGCATTTCACTCTTTGTGTGCATATTGTAAAATAATCCTACCACTCTACCCTGCAAATTCACCTCTACTAGTTTTTTTCAACAACTTAACTGGTTCCTTTCCAAATACTGTTGCATCCATTTACATATACGTGTGTATAAACCTTAAGGCTTAATTTAAATACAACAATAAAGCCCATCTTTCCCTATCTAGATTCAGTACTTACCAATGTTTTACCACATAAAAATACTGTTTTGATTTTTTAATATATACTATTTCATGTATATCACAAAGTCTTTAAAGCAGGTATCTGTTAAAACTGTAGTTACTAAAATCAAAATTTTATAAATGGCTTCTAAAAAAAACAATGAATCATCAAAGCTTTGTATATTTAATGAAAAGTTTAAGTTTTAAACAGTACAGAGGGACCCGGGTGTGTTGGCACATGTCTGTAATGTCAGCACTCAGGAGGCTAGGGCGAGAGGATAGTTGTAAATTTAAGGCCACCCTGGGGCACTTAGTGAATTCAAAGCCAGTTTAAACTACAAAATGAGACACTGTCTCAAAATAAAAATAAACAATACAAAGCAGTGCTGGAACACATATCTATGGTCTAACAAGCAAGCTATCTGTTATCACTGAAAACTCTAAAAGGTACAGATGGTTGACATTTCAAAATCTTTAAGAATGAGCCAAATGTGCTCATTTCAAGCTCACTCTTTTGAGTCAAAATCAAGTATAATGGCTCAAAAATAATTCTAAATAAACTTTTAAAACTATGGAATTAGTGAAGAGTTCAAAGAATTACTTGGTTTTAAGAATTAATTTAAAATTTAGTGCTTACATGGAGGAAACAAGGTGAGTTCTGACATAATACCTCTTCCTTTCTGGTAAATTATGAACAATGGAATTTTATCAATTTCCTGGATAACAAATATAAACAATGCTATCATCTGGGGCTTTTCCACTCCTAATTCCATTACCATGTTCTCAACATAAAATTCAGTGGACTCTTGTCAATTGACCCCTCCAAAGGTCTATATATAATGTGATTTGAGAAACTGTGACCACATTATAATACAAAAATCAATAATCTCTCCTTTGTTGGGTTTATTTGAACGTGAAAGTGCTTAGAGTGAATGAAGTAAAATAGGCTTTCACATATACTGAGTTACATTTGCTTTCTATATTCTTCACAAAGTTGAATTAAAGTAATTTAATTTTAAATTACTAAATTTTTAATTTATTAAAATTAAGGAAACAATTTAAAAGCCAGAAAGAAGATAAATTCGAAGCTTTTATAGGTAAATGGATGCAACTAGAAACCATACTCATAAGTGAAATAGATTCTCACATGTGTAAACATCATATTGTCTCCATTGTGTAAGAAACTAAAGAGTAAATAAGATCCAAAAGGTACAATAGATGTTGTGAAAGAGAAAGAAACTGCTCAAAAAGAAAGAACAACTGGGATAGGGAGAAAGAGAAAATAAGGAAAGTGGGAAAAATATATTTATATACAGACACACACACAAGATAGTTAAGATAACTGTATTACTAATTCTATTAGTCATGGAAAGAAATTGTAGTTGCTTATATTGTTTGATTTGTTTTACATTTTCGTATCTTGTAATCTGAGCAACTATTTTGAAGATAACAATATGTAATACAGTAACTACTGTTAATTTCCCTTCAGCTTGTTTGGAAATCCTATGTCATTTTTATTATTTTGTTTTTATTCTTTTCTTTTCTTTTAACCTCTTTTTAAAAAATGGCTTACGATGAAAATCAAAGAAAGAAGAAACTACAGATTAAGAGACCTATCAACTAAATGCACATGTGGTCCTTGTTTGGATGATAAACCAATTATGGAAAGACAGTAAAAAAGCAACTTACACCTAGACATATACAAATATGAATTTATGAAAATTATGAATGTTAGGTAATACTAATGAATTATCTTTAGGTATGATAATGATATTGTAATTATGT